GGGGGGGGGGGGGGGGGGGGGGGGGGGGGGGGGGGGGACGTCGCCCGACTTCACGCCATTATAAGCATATACGTACTCCTCTAGTTGTCACGATGAAATCCAAACAGGAAGACCAAGTCCTCTGCATTTGGCAATCGGCGTACAAAACAGAAACAGAACTCCGTCTGTCCTACAGGATCTAGTTGGGCTCAAGTTCTTACCTGCAAAGTTCAAGTGGTGGCGCGTTCTGCAGGGCTTCAGAATTTATCACATGATGCTGATACCCACGGAACAGTAGTCTTCACCCAACCTTCTTTCCTGTGCTTTAGGGGGGCCAGTGCCAACCACGTTAGGATCGACATGGTGGTTGTGTCTCGAACGACTATTTTAGAGTAGGCTACACCACGCCACCACATTCGATACGCACAGAAATAGTGAGGTTCTGGCGACAACATATTGTAGCACCGCTCCTCTCACAATCTTTTCTGTGGGGTGGGCGCGCATCGCCGAACGCCTAGACTGCATGCAATAGTTACGGAGCATCAACAACGGATGTATCCAGTAGCCTGCATGTACATGAAGTAGTTCTTGCCACGCATCCAGTCCCCCCCCCCCTTCCACCTCTGTCTCCGATTGCTGGACGCTGTTCGAATAGGTAGCACGACGAGCGCCATCAGACAGCGTTTGTTTTTCCCTGAGCTTAATTTCTTGAGGGTACTCATCGTCCATGCGAACCTTGTGGAAGAGAGTGTTTGTATGCTGTCGGTGGCTGATTATTGCTGCTCTTACCCGTCAGCAGTGGGTAGACACACGAGCTGACTTGCTCGATCAACGGGTACACGAAAAACTGGGTGATCGATTGTCGATAGCGATGGGATGCTCTGTTGTTCGCTTGTTTTCCCGACACATGACTGCAAGCCATCGAAAAAAATTGTCACAAAATGTGGCGTCCTGCAGCAGCGGAGGTGGCGGTGCTGCTGTAGCTCGTAGACTTTGTAGTCTACCATAGAGGTTACACTGCTGTCACCGCGCTATTACAGAGGTTGGCCTACACTGCTGTGAGATCGGTAGGCCCGAGCGAGCGTTGGAATGAGAAATGTAGATAGATGATTTTATCAACTGACTCCCTGGTCAGGCTTTGATGGGTGATAGGTGAGGGTGAGCACAAAGGGGCGAAGGCGCGCTTGTGTCTCATCTTAACAACAAAACAAAACAAAAAACAAGCAGAAAAACACAGCAGGTTCCGAGGGTCTCCGGGGTAATGGCCCCAGTACCGGAATTTCGGGGTTCGGAACAATAAAACAACTACAGTCTCGCCTGCCAAATTATCTCCGCTACAACTCTGTGCTCATGTTCTCTGCTGACCATCTCTTCCTGTATTATTTCTACGGAAGGCTGGTTGCCGCAGTCGCACCTATGGTAAACTGTGCCTGACTACGTTGTAACAGTTTCCTCGACACAACCAACCTTCTTTCCTGTGCTTTGGGGGGGCCAGTGCCAACTACGTTAGGATCGACATGGTGGTTGTGTCTCGAACGACTATTTTAGAGTAGGCTACACCACGCCACCACATTCGATACGCACAGAAATAGTGAGGTTCTGGCGACAACATATTGTAGCACCGCTCCTCTCACAATCTTTTCTATGGGGTGGGCGCGCATCGCCGAACGCCTAGACTGCATGCAATAGTTACGGAGCATCAACAACGGATGTATCCAGTAGCCTGCATGTACATGAAGTAGTTCTTGCCACGCATCCAGTCCCCCCCCCCCTTCCACCTCTGTCTCCGATTGCTGGACGCTGTTCGAATAGGTAGCACGACGAGCGCCATCAGACAGCGTTTGTTTTTCCCTGAGCTTAATTTCTTGAGGGTACTCATCGTCCATGCGAACCTTGTGGAAGAGAGTGTTTGTATGCTGTCGGTGGCTGATTATTGCTGCTCTTACCCGTCAGCAGCGGGTAGACACACGAGCTGACTTGCTCGATCAACGGGTACATGAAAAACTGGGTGATCGATTGTCGATAGCGATGGGATGCTCTGTTGTTCGCTTGTTTTCCCGACACATGACTGCAAGCCATCGAAAAAAATTGTCTTCGCGTTCGTTCAAGTGTTTTTGCTGAGTTTTTCCGCGCTGAAGGCTGAACACCAGCGATCCTCGGGCAAGCAACGCCTGCAGTGTACTCAGCAAACAGGTTTGCAAAGTTTGGCCGATAGCTACCAATAACGATCCAACAAACACACGCACGCGCAGCTGGCCGGCGGACTCCGCGCAATAAAATGTCGCTCTCGTGTAGTAGCCGAGGTTCGATAACGACGACAAAGTAAGAACCTCTTCGGCAGTTCTTGAAGAAATTCTGAGCGTCAGATGGAGAAAAAAAATTAGGGATGTCGCCATGGGCGCGAAATTCCCGAGGGGGTACAATAGATCAGGTCATCATTGCCTACAGCAGAAAATCGTGCGCGTTCGCTTTTTGTGTGCGTCGGAACTTCCAGACGTGAAAACACACCTCGGCGCTTCCTGACCGTGGACAGTGTACCCAGCAAAATCGGCATTGCCGAAATGAATTCCAAACGCAGACCCAATCTCTTATGTGATGCATCTCAGCAAAAACAGCAGGACGCACGAATTTGAAATAGACGGCTCTGGAATGCACAGCAGCACGAGCCAAAGCAAACTAGAAGATGACAAACGCAGAACGACCGTTCTTCGGTTACATGTGTTGGCCACAAACCGAATTTTTAAGCTATATAGACGACAAAACGCCATGGACAGGCTCACTTCCAATTATCCCAGCAAGCAGTAGCACTGCGGCGTACGAAGCTCAGCCTCGGCCTCCCGCCACCGCTTAGAATAGAATCCACCGCCCGGAAAACGGCCAGTACAAGGGCCCAATGCGCGTCGTCCCTCGCTTCGTCGGAGGTGAGACCACATCTCCGCTCCTCCCCAGCGGGCACGCGCCATTTTGGAACCGCTTCGCGCAAAGACTCCGGATTAATGCCGTGCCGTTCGCTACGGCCAGTCTTGAATCTGCCTTGGGCGTCGTCTATCCGAACCTGCCGCTGCTGCTGCTGCTGCTGTACTTCCATTGCAGGTATTACAGGTGGCTTTTCAGCAGATCGTTGACGGCGGCATGCATGCGATAGCTCACGCGCCAGGGCGGGGACAACAAGGCGGGAAATGTCCGTTTCCGCAGCAAGAACGGAGTTGGTCCGTAGTTGTCGCGCGAAGAGCTCTGCTGTGTGTCCTAGCGCGGAGTCGCTGAGATGGAAAAAAACGCGGTGGGGGGTATAGGCACGGCGGGGGGGGAGTGTTGTCATCCTATCAAGTTTGGACGTCAGGCAACACCTGGCGGAAAATATGGACACATCATTTGGCGTCACCAAGAAGGAAGATTTTGCTTCCATCATCACTATCATGCGGTGCTCGCCGAAGACTGAATTGCGAGATAATCCAGAGGTCTCTTTTTCTCGTTCACAGGCAATTTCGAACGTATTGTGCGCCCACGAAATGGTCGTTCTCCGCTTGTCGAGTACAACAACGTGAGATTTCCGACTAGCCTGAGGTTTGAACTCAAGTCCTGACTTCGGAACAGAGTTTCGAAGTCCTCAACTGCATGCACAAAAGGGGAGAACCGAGTGTTTTGCAGGCGTAGCATACCAGCTACACGCATAGGCAGGGGCAAAACCTTGGCGAGTCGCGGACAACAACTCGTCCCACCCCATGATCACAAACGGTCTGTTGTTACGTACGATGCCGGTAACCGTATCGCTTGTTTGTCAGGTTGCAAAATGGCCGATACTCCAAACCCGCGGTTTGAAGTTTTCCACCGCGCTGTTCCGCTCGGACGACCACGTTCGCCGCAGCGGACATCGTCATCCCCTTGGTTTCCTCCCGATGGGGCGTGGACCACCCGGAACGTCGGCCGACAAGTTGCGAAACCACCTTTTCCCCACGGGGGCAACGAAAAAAACTCCTCCGTCTACCCTGAGTCTAATGGATCCCGATGGGTTCCCGCGGGGATCATTGATTTCCGATTGTCGCCATCTTGGCATCAGTGCCAAGCAAACCACTCGATTCTTGTTGAAAGACACTCGCGTTTCCGCCCGGCACTTGTATGCTTAGGAGTATTGTAACTAGCGTTTGCATGCAACTGCACGTTTGTGGTTAATATTCGGCGTGTTTCTGGATATGTGGGTACGTTTGAGGCTCCGTGATTGTCTTTCCCTGCAATGCATAACGGCATGACGCCAAAGCAGAGATGCGCTAGTATCGAAAAGTACATCAATACCAGCCGAGAGTTGCTTTCTGTTCAGAAAACGTACCAGGATTGAAACAATTTGGCACAGGCAGATTCACACAGCGTGCGGAAAAGAAACACCAACGAAGGAAACGGAGAATAAATCGAGCACCAATAAGGGACAGCAGTCCCTGACCAAACACATCCATGCCATCGAATACGGGTTGCCCTATCTTGGGGGCTCAGCTAATGCTGAGAGAGACAGTGTGTTTGACGCATGCAAACATTGGTTGACCTCCACCCTGTCAGTATAATAGTAGATCCCTCCATCTCGGTCCAATTTCCCCTTAGGTGGGGACAGCTGCGCGGTATGCGTCTGACCCCGTCCACGTCTGGGGAAACCAAACAGGACTATAATAGCACACTTCACAGCGCCTACACCGACACCTGTAACTACCACCAAACACCCCAAGGTAAATAATACGCCGGCCGAAGTGCCAACCGCCACAATCTCACCTATCATGGGGCCAGCAAGAAGGCGCGCGACACTGCAGCTCTTCAACCAGAGCGAAACACGCAGTATTACGCAAGGCTTGGACCCCGTTGGCATGTTGCCAATCTTTCCACCCAGCACAGCCATCAAACGGTCCCGGAAAGGTGCAGAGAGGATTCTCTCCCGTCAGCACAAGCGATGGGTTCGCAACGAGGGCTTTGGCTTCCTGGGAGGGGCCAAAAAAAGGCACGTCGGGGAGGTGGGCTTAGCACCTGCAACGGGGTATGAAACAACTAGAAATTCAGAATAGGAAAGGGTACCGGAGCAGACACCCTGCAGGCGGGAAGTAGCTCGAAGAAGGGCTATCGGGGAAAAACAAACCAGAAAATTCCACACGACCAACGATTTTACGGCAGAGGAAGCTACACTCTAACGCCGTTGCACCCTACCAACGTCCATCGTGTTGTAAGTGTTACGATGCATGTCAACGCAAACCGGGTGCTAGCCAAAGTGTCGGCAACGAATGAACAAAGCGGTGTTGAAGAACAACCACACCAGTCCAGCACACCTGAACCTTACCTCGGACAGTGTTGACAAGTCGGCATAGCTGCAAGAGTCATGTGTCATCGCATCCAAAGTCTCCCGTATCAAGCCGGTAACGTGCCCAGTCTTGGTATAGTCAACGCGCCGTTCGAAATCATAGAGCGCCGGAGGGTCGCAGGGAGGGTAAGCGAGGCTGTGGACGGATCACCCACGGGATCACAAGGCACACAACGCTGTACCCTTCAAGCGTTTCGGGATATCGTCCGAGACTTCCGCAGAACTTGCTCACGCACCTCAAACCTCATACAGGCACTCAGTAGGGGCGGTATTTTTTTCATGCTGCGCACCACCAAGGACAACACGACAGACCGTATGCAGGTGTTCCTCGCCTAATCTCGAATGGTCCTTTTTTCCCTAGGCTGGGTGTTGTATGCCACAAAACGTCTTTCCCCCCGGCCCCAAACAAGCATCCAAAGCGGACCCAAAAGATGACAACCGATCGTGAATGCTGAGGACGGTACCTTGCTTCTCTCCTTAATTCTGAAATATTGGGCGAGCACACAAAATCCAACCAAATAAATTCTTACCTTGTTCCGGCAGTACCAGTCTTCGAATTCTTGCAACAGTCGACTCATGCCTCCCTCGTCGCTGCGCTCTTCACGTTGCCGAGTATCCCTCCCTCTCCAAGTCTCCACGCCCGTGTACCCCGCTCGCCTCCGCTCCTCTTGGGCGAACACTTCCCTCTTCCCCTCGGCTTCATCCAGCAGCATCAAAAGTGACCGTTGCAGCAGTTGTATTTCTCTCAACCTTCCGACATCGCATTGCCCTTGTGCTTCCCCAGCGCCCGCAGCACAGCCTTCGCTGCGCTCTGGACAACGTAGATCGGTACACCCAGCGTTGTCGCTGCCAAGCAGGTCTTGGCCGTGGCAGACGTCTTGGCGAGGTGTTGCATCATAACGAGGTGCTTGTCGGACCCGAAGCATCTCTCGCCAACGAAAAAAAAGTGGGTCTGGCAGAGGGCTACCTCGTGCATGAGGGTAACCATCGGCGCAGGAACCGTCTGAGCCTGGTGCATCGAGATCGCGCAGAAGTGATTCCTCAGCGGCCTCGAACACAGCACGCGAGCTGCCTCCCATGCTGCCGTCGTCACCACCGCTGCTGCCGCTGCTTCCATCGTCTCGTCCCAAAAACCTTGCTCTTGCTGCTTCATAGCAATCTATCTCCTCCCACATCCCACTCTCAAGATTTGCAGCAATTTCTACCGCAACCTCGTTCACAGTAGCCTCAGATATTTCCGAGACCTGAGCCTGCTCTTCAAGCTGTTCCAAACACTCGGATTGTGTGGCGGAACGTTGGGAACAAGTGACATGGGATCGGTTCGCCCCAGTATGGCTAAAGCCCGATTCATTTCCACTTCGGCAAGAAGCGTTCCCCCGTCGTTCGTTGTCACGGGTGGCCACCGTAGGTGAAGTGGCCTTCCTGATAGTTCCAGTTTCTGTATGGCCTAAAGGTCGCCCGGAGACAGAGTTCGCTCTCTTGGTTCTTGCGCCCGGAGCTACCCCTGCCCTACAACCACTGCTGGATGAAGCGGTTAACCGCGCCTTCCCTGTCACCGATCTTGCCGCCTTGAGGTACCCTCCACGTACGCTGCTGCTGCCGCTGCTAGGGATCTCCGCTCGCTTGGCACCCGTCGCGTCGTTGAGCCCAGCAGGCACCGTCGTCGAGACGTTACTGGTCCGAATGCTGCGAGCTTGCTCCAGGATTTCCTCCAGAGACTTTGTCATGGGCGACGACTCTTGCGAAACAGCGGAGTCGTTTGTCGACACCTCACGTCGATTCCTCGGAGATCGCGAGATCTCCGAAATGGCGGCTTGCGTTGTCGCTGTGTCAAGTGCGGTGCGTGTTTCCGACGAGGCGCTCCGGCACCTCGCTTGTCCATCAGTGGTGGCTGAAGCTACGCAGCAACCTGCCGCCTTCGAGCCTTGTCGACAGTCAAAGCGGCTCTGCCCAGCTTTTCGCCGCCGGTCGGGTTCAGTCAACGATTGGCGCTGTCGGGGAGGCAGTTCATGTTGTTCATCCTGCAGTCGCGAGTCCTGCTGGATCGGATTAAGTTGGCAGCAGCAAGGTGGCATTGTGAGTCAAAGATAGTCGTTACCCAACCACCAATGTTGTACAATCGCTATGACACCCGGTATCCGGGAGGTCCAGTAGTTGATCTCGAAAACCTACAACAGTGGCAGGTTGCCAGTGGATCTCTCTCTCTGGGTGAAACATCCCGATAAATTTCGCGAGTACGCACACTTCGAAGTCATAAATAGTTCACGAGGGACGGCTGAAACCTTCTCGTGAAAAGAAGTAGGGCAAGCAACACAGGGAGGTGGCGCCTTCGAGAAAAAAAATAAAAATAATTCATTCTACCGAAAAGATGAGAGAGCACGGTCGGTGGTGGGATCGATTCCCCACAATCATATCGTTCTGCACTTTTTGTCGCACCGGGGTGCGATATCACCTGTACATGCGATATCACCGATCCCCGTGCGATTTTCGAATGAAATCATTCGACTCTGAATGGTTATCGCACGGGAGGTGCGATAACCCCTATACGTCCGGTGCTGAGCAAATAACAGACCCTTCAGCAGTAGTACTGGGTGGTTATACAGCGTACAAACCCGTGCAAAAACTCCGACACCCAATATGTCACGGCCATACGGCTAAACAAGTAGTGTTTAATGTGTGGCACTACAGCACCGTTCACGATGAAATCGTGAGGTATCTCTGGCGCAGTGAGTGTCCCGGAACCACTCGGGGCACTCGGTGTTGGCAACATCGCACCCCCGTGCGATGTCGCCGATCCCGTGCGATATGATAACTAATCATTTTTGGGGCAGGCGTGCTAACTGATCATTGATTGGAAATTTACAAGTACTGGTGTGGTGACCAGCTGTGGAGTAGCCGTCCTCTGTAACCCTCCACGACGGGTGTTGGGGAGTTCATAGATGTGTCAATATTCTCTGCATCGACCGCGCTAATCGGCTGACCACTGAAAACGCGTCAGTGCCAACGGAAAGCTCTGTAGGTATCGGGAAGCGGGCCAAAATTCGAAAAATGCGCACGCGCTAAATGCGAATGCCAAAATTGATCTCGGTACGAAGTATTTCACAGACAGGCATCACAGCACCACGCATACCCTTCGCCCGAACCTAGGTAGTGTCTGATCCAAAGAGCGGAGGGATGCAAAAGGGGTATTTCAAGCCAAGCCGATCATATCGTGGTATGTTGCTTCAATCTATGGACAATCGAACCTTCTCAAGATCCAGCAGTCATCGTGTCAGCAGCTTCACTATAGCAGCGTAGGCGAGTCAAACAAAATAGCATAGACAACATACCCAAGAATGGCTCCACACATACCCTTGCCCCAACCTAGGAAGCCGCAATGATAAGTAAATTTAGGTGTGTAATGCTATGCCGGTGTGCTTGTGCAATTGTGGGGGGAAAACAGGAAAGCCGGCAGGGCCCACAGGAGGGGGGGGCAGACAAGTACAGAAACAGGAATACAATACCAGCTACGAGCTATGGGCCTTCGAGCCCTCTGACTGATCATTGATCAGTAGAAAATACGCAAATAGAGTAGTTGAGGCAGCTAGACGGCTGATCATTTCAACGTCTACAAGGCTATCTGCCTGCCCTACCGGCCGCAGCGTGACCACCCATCAACCCTATGGCCATCACCCTGTCGCGGGCTGCCCGCATGGCTTACAGGTGGAGGTAGTTGTTGCGTCTAGAGAAGCACTTTCTGTTTCTTTTGCACTTATGTCTCAATGTTATCTGCGGTGGATTAATAAAGTTGACGTCGAAACGGAACCTAGGCCCAAAGGGGATAATGATTCGTTTTTGGTATTTAAGCATTTTGGGTCTTCAGGCGTACTGATAGATCACTGATACATCATTCTCATGTGCTGGTGTGGAGGCATGCCATGGAGTTGCCGCCCTGTGTCCCTCCACGCTAGATGTTGGCAAGTCCATGTGTAGGTGTGTCTTCAGTGCTGGCATCGACCAAGCTCACCGGTGACCAATGAACAGACGTCAGTGCCAGCGGGAAAAATCAAGGCCCCTGGCAGGGTTCCGAAATTCGGAAATAATGCACATTGCGCTAAATGCGAATGCCACAGCAGCGGATCTCGGTAAAAAAAATCCTTTCACAGAGACACACATCGTAGCTCCACAAACATGTCCTCGCCCAAATCTATGCAGCCACTGCAATACAAAGAGCGGATGTCAGCAAAAGGGGCAATTCAAGCCCAGCCAAGCCAACATGTCCTCGTACGCTGCATCTCCAAATTTGATATTTGTACACTCCGAAGATCCTACACAGCAGCAGCAGAGACGAGTCCAAAAAAATCGCAACACGCATGTACACCACCATCATAGGTACATGCCGTTCATGCGAGGAGGTAGGTGTGTGCTGTTGTGCTTGTGTGCTTTTGCGAAAAACACAGGAGCTCTAGTGACCCGGCAGGGCTCACAATAGTGGGGCGGCAAAGTACAGAAGTACAGATACCGGCTATTGGTCCACATGTCCTCTACTAGATCATTCTCATAGATCATTTTATGATACTGAACATACCGTAGTTTAGGCAGCTTAGTGACTGATCATTTCAAGGCCTACAAGGCTAACCTGCCCCACCGGCCGCACCGCGACCACCCATCAACCTTTTTATAACCCTGTCTGTGGCCACCACCCTGCCGCGGGCTGCCCTCATGGCCTATAGGAGGAGATAGCTGTTGCATGTACACAAGTAGAGCAGTTGTCTCGTGTGCTACACTTCTCTCTCCCTCTGCACTGTCTCCCGCCGGTGTTTTGTTTTGGCCGAAAAAAAAAAAAACAGCTACCCAAAGGTAATCGCACGGGGGTCTGACATCACCGGTGAGTGCGATATCACCTAAACGTGCATTCTCTCACACCCGTACATGTGGCTTTCCTGCCGCGTGACCCCGGGCTGATGTATCAAGTTCACCAAACGTATGTACAGATGAGACAAACACATCTATCTGCTCGCACTGCTGTGTGCTCGGGGCGTAGCTAGCCGCACCGTTGCAGCAGTGGGCTGTTGTTGACACGACGAACATTCGTGGATGACGTGCTACGCGCGCGTTCGTGCGTGCATGAAATGAAAAACAACGAAACATCACCGGAAGCCAACCCGAGCCCTGCCACCATCAACACATGTTGATGTACCCCTCGTGTGTACGCAGTCCCGCACGCGTTTCATGCTGACCTGCCTAACAACTCTGTTCAGATGTCTTCTCGGGACAAAGGTAAGCATTTTAAACTCAATCTGAACTTCAGGATTGCTCACAGAACAGCTGGACGTTTCGCGCAACTCTCAACTCAAGACGATTTTGGGCTCTCGCGCGCACGCGGACCCCGACCGACTCTCGTTCTTCGCGGCGCCGACAGGGACGTCCCCGACTCTCTCCGTCACGACTGACTCCGCTGCCGCTGCCCGCTCGAGACCCCAAGCGGGAGCCGAGATATAACAAACCTAGCATTGTATAGCACAGCATTGTCAAGCGCGCTGCAACCACACGTTCATACTTGCATGTACTCACTGCCAAGACTCGCGACGCTGAATGGGCGAGATATTGCAGTGTTCCGGGACTCCTACCTGTTTTATCTTCATTCTGTTGGTGATTTTTATACGTAAAGAGCTGGATGTGTCCACGCATTAACACACTGCTGTGTTTTGTGCCTTCCACTCACACCCATCCTCACATCCCCGCCGCACGCAGTAACTGATCGACGCAACTTGGCCGTGGTGGAGCGGACTAAAAAATCATCCCCCCGCAAAATGCGGGCAAACTCCTACTCTGTTTCAAAAAAATGAAAATTTGACTGGAAAAAAAATATTGCCAAACGTTTTTACTCACGTAACCATGAAATAACATATCAGTGGCTTACATTTGGTATACTCCACCCTTACGTCCACAGTTAGCCCTCCCCATTTTGGCGTAAGCGCGTGATCAGGCTGCTCGCTGAACAGTCACAAAAACATTTTTTTTCGCCTCTATGGCTGGCGACGCCAAACCTTGTTTGACTTGACATCAAACAGTGGGAGGGAATCCCGGACTACGAATCAGACATCTCTCAAAACGAATCTTATGACGGGGTAGGTTTGGGTGACGCACGGGTCCAAAGAGTCCCTCGCTTGTCAACAAACAAAATGCAGTGACTACACAACCAGCCGATGCGGTAGGCACGGGCGGGTCAAGGGCGCGGAAGCCCACTGCCGCCTACGGGGCGAGCACCTAGGGAGCGAGCTCTGGACGGAGTAATGCTACGGGGGAGGGTGCGAGGAGGTGGTCTGTCTGAGGTTTGGAGCGGGGGCGAAGCAGGCACGACGGTGGAACAAGCTCAACTGGTGTTGTGGGCAGATTTTTTCGTGCGATTGTTTTTTGGCTCACGAACTGACTTTTCGTCGACAACGCTTGTTCCACCACCGACGCTACACTGCAGCTCTTGCAGCCGTTGCTGCGCCATGAGAAGCAGTGCTTTCCCTGCTTTCCTCGCAATGTCTCTTCAAGCCCCTGAAGGGGCGGGAAGGGCGGCGGCGACTCCAGTCCTTTTTCGTACCATGCTGTAAACATCAGACATACCTCTTTCTCGTCGGTTTTTGTTTTTACGCTCATCTCTGAAAGTTGTGCAAAGGCCCAACGGCCCTGCCACCGGCGCTACTGCAGCTGTTGCTACCTTTCCTGCACAATGCGTAGCACTGGTTCTCTTACTTTGCTTGCAATGTCTGTGCAGCCGCATGGGCGGGCGGTAACGGGAGTGGCCGTCGCAAATCCATTTGGGTGTGTATTGATTCTTGGATGAGATCACAGCCACTTCCGTGTGCGTGTGTGCGTTTTGTTGGACTGATATTTTTTTCATCATTCAACTCTACTTTCAGCGTTGCTGCAGACTGCGTCGCTGCAGCTCTTCCTACTGTTTCTGCGCCGTTAGTAGCAATGGTTGCCCTGCTTTCCTTGCAATGTCTCTTCAACCCCGTAGAAGGGCGACAACGGGGGTGGCGGCTTCAGTTCCTAACTGGAAAATGTCAGACCTACCTGCTCTTTCTCATCGGCGTATTATCTATTTTATTCCGCTAATGTCCGAAAAGTTTTGCCCGGGTGCAACGGCTCTGCCGCAGCCGCTACTGCAGTTTTTGCGGCCGTTTCTGCGGCATGAGTAGCGGTGACGGCCCTGCTCTCTATGCATTGTTCCTGCGGCCCCACAGCCGGGTGCCAAAGGGGGAGGCTACCGCTCAAAAAACGATCAAGACAAACAACAGCATATTTTCAGTCTGTTCGCTTGTCAAGCTGACGTGGCTGCGAAAACGCGGGGATTGATTGGCCACGAAATAAAAAAAATCAGACAAATGGGCCGTTCGAAAGCACCTCCGCGTGACAGAATTTGGGCCCAAAAACAGGGTCAGGCGCAGGGCTAACAGTCCACACTATTTGTAACCCTCACTCTTGGAAAAGGAGGCGCGGACGGCTTCATCCCCAAAGGAGGACGGGGGGGTGGGGTACTCATAGTCGTGCATGCCGCAGTCGTTGGACCATTGACCTCGCATCCCTACAAAGCCGGGACGGAGCACGCCGGGTACTCACCGGACCAGGCTTTCACATCACCGAGCGCGAAGCGCCGTGAGGTATTCGGCAAGTCGCATGAAGGGTGAGCTGCATCCTGCTAAGGGTGTCCGGCATCTTGTGCTTAGTTCCTTGCGTACGGATGACAGCTGCGTATGACTTAATTTATTTTCTGGTGCTTTCACTTCCAAAGACAGTTGTAAGCACTGTGTAACTGCCTTGAGGATGCTATACCATTTTAACGCAACGTGGTGCGATCATCCCCCTTGCGCGGAGTGAGGTTCTCGACCCCGCACAACATGATCTACTCGACCACCACTCATGGTCACCGCAAAAAAAAAAAAACAGAGGTAAAAAAAAAAAGAACGGTAACCTGGTTGCCGAGTTCACGAAGTGAATTGGCTTGTTTTACAACGTCGTTGCCAAGCGACGAAAACCCAACCTCGATGGCAAACATCGGGAGGGGAGGGGGGGGTAAGTCCCCCGCGGGGACGTTGTAAAAACTACTGTTGCGCCTCTGCAACGCATTTAAGGCACTATCTCACCTGCTGCAGGGAATCGAGGCGCGCCTCCGAGAGCCGTTCCAAAGCTACCTCGTATTGTGAGCAGCATGCGCGGAGAAAAATCGCCCGTCTTTTCGTCTCAGCCGTCAACAACCGGATGGCTCTGGGGTACATGACGGAGGGAAGAGAGGAAATTTAGGGGGCCGTTCTACACGGGGAGGCAAGATGCGCTGTCCGGAACCCTGGAACAACAACAGCATTTGCGTGGCCGTTTAACCGGCTAAATCCCGTGTATGCAATGGAGTTGTAGTGCGAGGTGCAATTTTCAGGGGTGTTACGGTGCGCGGTGTGTTTCTTTTCGGCGATGCGGTGCGGTGCGGTTCAACCGCCCCCATAGATGCGGTTTTTATCACGATGCGGTTTTTTCTTACTCAGTCGCCACGACCGCAGTCAAGAAAAGAAACCGTTTTTCCATGCAGACGCAACACCAGGAACGGCAAAAGCTATGCATGCCATCATTCCAACCTGCTCGTGCGAGAGGGCAAGTGGTTTGCCGAGGTTTGCCCTGACTGAGTGTCGCAGAGACGGTTGTGAACATGAGCCTTATTTTTACTGGCAACTTTCCCACAGCGGTAGAGGCAAGTGAGGTGTGGCTGCATGTGTTGAGCGCGGTGTTGATGTTGATGCGTGTTGTTGATGCACTTCTGGTGAACGAAATAGTCTTAACAGTTCTTTCGTCTGTGGTTTTCTGTCCGTGCAGCACCATTTCCCCACAATTATATATTCTCGTTGGACCACAGGAGGACGAAACCTGCACATCCACGAACTTGTAGGTACTCTGTCCTCCTGTCACGGGCAGTGCTGCAACTGGAATATTTCGGCGGTTTTCTTCGGCGTGGCACCGCGAAGGCCGCGGTTGCCGCGGTTCCGCCGGTTAAACACGGAATATTGTATCTTGCGGCGGGTGCACCGTACCGCCCCGTCAACTTTCGAACTTGAAAAAAAAACACTCAACCGAACTGCACCATGACCATGTCGCAAAAACAAAAACGCCCCGCTGTGCAATCTACAGGAAGTATGTAGTCTCCTGTAACCGCGCGAATACTCAGCAAATTTCAAACATTCGCTCGACAGTCCAGTGATGAAAATGCTAGACAGCATGCACCTATGCAGCCTGAGGAAGATAGCGGCAAGTGTCTCTTGTGTCGATTTATCCTGCCTGAGAACGACTTCGACCATGCCGCACCGCAACAACAGCAGCAGCAGCCCCTCTGCTTGACGAACACCGGCAGCCTCTCTCACTCGTACATCGTGCTCGTGCAGTAACGAGCACAGTAAAAATACGGCGGTAGCCTACGTATGTACATAGACGTCGTTTACTGGACAGCGACTTCCTGCTATCCAGTATCTACACTACGCACCTTGACGCGAGGGAGCACGAACTCAGTAGGTCATCCAGCGAGTCGGACATGCACAGGAGGGATAAGTTAAGAAGGATGGGCACGGGACAAAACCCTTCCGGTACATTAGCGGCGCCCTTACGGTTTGAGCAATGAAATTGCGGAGCTCCCTGGGGGGATATCTCAGTGCGGTATGTAAGATACCACACCCCTTGGACCGATTTTCAAAGCTCGATTGCTCCACGACGAAGACGCGAAAACCAAGCGATACTCTCTCGAAAAGCTCTCAGCGAGACGGTTCCAGCGACGCCGTTGTCGGCACCATCCCTGAGTTTGCAGCAAAGTACTCTAGGTTTGAAAATCGACCAGTTGTTTTTGAAATATCTTTCTGCAACCTGATGGATTTCCGTTGGTGGATTGACAGGAATTGCGGGAAAAAATGGGGGATCAATAGCAATCACCAATGTGCTCTGTGGGGCTATAGTAGTGTTGGTGTTGGTAGGTCTGTGTGTTGAGACTCAGAAAGTGGCACCCCGCAAAAACTTTATTGGTATGCTACATAAGTACAGCAGCACGCGTTTTTGTCGTTGTTGTTCACATCAAAAACCCGTTCCGGTCTCCACTCAGCCTTCCAATGTCCGTACTGGTCCAACTGACGCATACGAAACTAAAATTGCAGGTGACGCAAGCTTGGCTGGCGCAACCCGTAGGTGACTCAAGATACCACACCCCCTGGACCGATTTGAAAAGTGGTTCCTCCACAGCAGTATTGGAAAGAATGGCGGTCACGACAATGGCAATCTATGTTTGAACCGCCACTGACCCCAATCCGAAGCCCAAGCGAACGCGAAATCATACTTCGTGTGCACACAACATTCGTCCACGGTCGGCGAGGGAAAGGATCGGCAACAATATACGTACAGCAGTAGTTCTCGCGCCAATAATCAAGGCAAGAACCGCTCTACCTGTCTTGATATGAACGCAAATCACGAGGGAACACCGCCGCAACAGCTCGATAGTGTGATATCATTCGACCTAGAGGGGACACCACCCGGGCATGCACCGCACCACGACCACTGAATTTTACACCACTCCACACCAGCCTCGACACGTATTTACAGTTTCAAAACACTTATCGAAGAGAGCATCCACTGGGTGATGACAGCACCGTGCTGACCGAGAAATAACGGAACAAAAAAAGGTAGACAGTGCCCACTGCTGTGCTGCTGTGGTCCTCTAGCAAACGCTATTCGCATGTACGGCACTTAGTCATCAACTGTTCTACACTATCCACCTGTTGGCCACCAGAAGTACTGACAAATTCCGCGCGCTGCAAGGTACGTAACCCAAACAAAAACGGAGGTTGTCCATGAGTGCACAGGTAAACCAACAACATAACAGCAACAGCACGGCCATGGTTCCGAAACAGCGTGGCTGAAGCACGACATCGATCACTTTCCAACTCTTAACCCAACCTACTTCTCTTACATTCTTGCCCTTCGAACAAGGTTCATCGCTGGCTCCACCCAGGCAGGGAATATAAAATGAGGTTACATATCCTGTCTTTCAGTCCGAAGAGTGACACGGTACTTGAGGCATCTTGTAGCTGAAACAAAAATAGCAGACCCGAGTCTTGCATACAACAATCGACATCCATCTTCATAGTAACGGCATACGAACACAGTGATCCGGACAATAAGTCTACAATCAGGACTGTTCACGTTTCACAAAGGTTTTGCTTGAAAACAAAACAAAACGTCAACAAGCACCGAATTCGCGCAAGCAGACGTCCATTTTTTCGTCCGTCTTACAAAAGTGGTAAAATGACAACTTATTTCGCGGCACCGGGTGGGTGAAGCACTTGCAGTAGAAGCTTCCACCGATGTCAAGCATGACCTGAATGAGAAGAAGCCAAACGCACAACGGAGAGGAAGGCAAACGAAAAAAAAATGTCACGAGGACGAAACAGAGAATAACACACGCACACATCGGTGACTAGTATCAATATTCTGGAGCAAAACCCGAAGAACGGCAGGCGTGCCTCCCGAAGGGCCGGAAGAAAATTCTGTGAAAGCACACCTAACGGGCGACCAGCGCAACGAGTGCAGTGGGGAAAACAATCAACAGCGAGGATTGATGTAGACCAGACCGTGTAGAGACAATTGGGGGACGTGCGTGTCCGCATCATGCAGACAAGAGTCAAAGAGAGGTCAAAGGAAATGAGGAAGTATTGCTAAGAGCCCTCCGCTGCATTTCACGCGCAGCAAAAATGACGAGGGACAGCTTCAAGCACTTCTTTCCGAAAAAGAATGAGAGCCCTGACAACCATGCTTTTTCACGAACAGCAAGAAAAAAAAAGTAACTGAGCGTGGGCATTCCTTATACTTGGCCACGATGGGCTGCCCCATAAGGCCCTCCTACCCAAAACGCCGTTGCGGATGCACGGCTGGGGGGGGCGTACTCTTATGTTTTGCATGCGGTTAGACCATTGACCACGCGTCCTCGAGAGGACGGAGCATTGGTCCCACAGGACCGATCACCGATGGCCAATCGTTCCTTTCTACTTTGCCAAACGTGGCTCAAAAATGTCTTCTCTAGTCTGTCTATCCTAACGATATCTCTTCCCGCCTTTTCAACCCACCTCCTATGCCCCACTACAGCTACCGTCCTTTCCTCTCTATTACATGCCTCAAACATCTCCCTGTACGCCCTATCTATTTTTGCCAGCTCAGTCACGTACACTTCCCTCTCCTTGTACAACGGACATTCCGCGACTACATGAACACGGTCTTCGCATTCGAAGCCGCAATCACATTTGAACTCGTCGTCTTCGTCGTCTACCGTCCTATGTCTTCGTCGGCGTTCTCGAGGGCCTATGTCCCCGGTCCTGAATTTGACCTTAAGCTTTGGCCCTGCATCCATTGGTCTATGTAGGTAATCCTTGAACCCTATTCCTTCCTTCAACATTCCGTACACTTCTAGACCCTCCTTATCCTTGGATTCTTTCCTTAGATACTGTTCGTCTCTTTCGGCACAAGCAACAGATATCTTCTCCTTGAACCCCTGTAGACCNGGGCCTATGTCCCCGGTCCTGAATTTGACCTTAAGCTTTGGCCCTGCATCCATTGGTCTATGTAGGTAATCCTTGAACCCTATTCCTTCCTTCAACATTCCGTACACTTCTAGACCCTCCTTATCCTTGGATTCTTTCCTCAGATTCTGTTCTTCTCTCTCGGCACAAGCAACAGATATCTTCTCCTTGAACCCCTGTAGACCCTCCGTTTCCAGCGTTTCATCTTCGTCGATGTCGAGCCCCTTCCATACGTCCTCTACAACCTTGACCCATTCCGTGGGTTGTCTACCCCTCTTTTTGTTTGCCCACTTCGCCTCCCATACAATCCTCGGCAACCTCTCCTCTCCCATCCCGCACATGCGATACTGCCAGGTCAGCTTCCTCGCGTCTCTTCCCGACCGTAGGGATTGGATCCCCAATTCTGCCCTCACGGCTGCATTACTTGTGCGCGTGGAGCATCCTAGGATGATTTTCGCTGCTTTCATCTGCGCCGCCTCGAGTTCTTTCACTATCTTTTTATTTCCTTCCCATACTTCTCCGGCGTACTCTAGCGGCGGTACGATTACGCTCTTCAAAACCGGATGCGCCGCCTCGAGTTCTTTCACTATCTTTTTATTTCCTTCCCATACTTCTCCGGCGTACTCTAGCGGCGGTACGATTACGCTCTTCAAAACCGGATGCACGGCTGGGAGACCATAATAGCGATGTCCCGATGTGGCAGTAACCAGGACAGCGGCGCCGTGGTTTCGTCTCACACGCACACTCATGACTGATGGGGGGTGCACTATTGGGGTGAGCTCTACTACCACTTTTGGCAGAAAACGTGTAGTCCTGCTTCGGTTGTGGTGTTCCTACTGCGGTATAGGACGCGACCAACACGGCCTGGTAGAGTGTGTCTGACTCTTTGCCCGAAAGTGCAACATGAGGTGAGGTGACACCCCTACCGTAGCACCACTCACGTGCAGAACACGCGGGGAAACTATTCTCCGACGCACGCACTGATAGGTACCATGCTCACAAAACCAAGGGCAGGTCCTCGTGCTGCATACGAAAGCGACTCGCCACTGAGTCTGTTTCCTGCCGCCGACGCCTCAAGGCGCCCTCCCCCCTCCGCAGGTGCCAAAAAAACTTGTGAGCGATATTAAGCTATACTTCGAAGTATCATCCGATTGTGGTATCATCATGTGCCTGATATTCACCCACAAAATTGAATCCGATGATAGTTCCTGCGTGTGATCAAGACTAACACCACGAGGGGGTGCAGCGCTGTGTCGTTTCGCGAGCGGTGTTGCATGTACTCCGTGGGCAACGGTAGTATCTACTGCAGAACACACTACACTGCTGCGAGCAGCGTCGCCGTGTTCAGATGCAAAACTACCGAAGCGGGAGATCGCCGGTACTTCTTCGCGTTCATCAGGATGGGTATTGATGGCGTATGACTTACGGAAGATGTGAACAAATACAGCGATCGAACGCAGACCCAACCAGCCAGTCCCAAGACTACTCACTGTAAGCACACCGGTGGCAGATAGTATCGTGCTTTCTAAATCGCGGCTTCGATTTCTTGGAGCGCGGTGCGCACAGCTTGAAGATGGTGAGGAATGGCCAAAGGGGGGGGATTCCAGCGATACAACACGTTGGTAAAGCACAAGCCAATAGCCCGAAACAGTGCACATATGGCCCGCTGCAATGCAATCAAATGCCTGCAACATTTACAAATCATTCGCTTCGAGAACACGTTGTGGCCCATGAGAGCTGGTGCTTGATCAAGAATCACTTATACACTGGCCAGTGGGCGGTGATGGACAGGCGTGACTACTGTAGGCACGTTTTTTTCGCTCTTCTTGTCACCTTGTCGACACCAAGCAGCCACAGCCCCATCATAGCGTCCTCCACGGACATCACCGAGAGCATGTCCCTGCTCTTGTTCAAGAAATTTACAATGTCCACCCCGAGAATATAGAACGCTCCCTGCAATCGTGCGACAAAATAAGAAAGAGCAATAGCACAGCAAAGGTAGGAGGATGGAAGTCAGGAGAAACAGTCAACCCAACAAAGTTCACGCGTACACAACACACGTGTTTCCGAGCACTGCAATCTTTCACCTCAGGCGGTATTCGCTGAAGGGAAGGCTACAACCTCTATACGGAGCTAACCCGTTCCCTTGTAATGCAGAATCTATCGTCCACAAGAACAGCAGAAATAAACCATCGGAATGCTAGAATCAACAATAGCAACCGTTGCCGTCAGCAAATAACACTGCAGAGGCCTGCAGACCACAAATGTTCCATTCGACGATGGGTTCAAAGTTTCAGTGGCAATGAAGGAGCATACCGTGCCTCGCGTCCCGATGAATCACCAACCCCACCTGGTGGTACATGGGATGGCAGTCGATGGTGCCCCCAGTTGCAGCCAAGAATTCCGGGTCGTACAGCTTGTGCCCCTTCGGGAAAACCGTACCACACCTTTGCATTATGGCCATGCATCCATACGGTTCAGGTATACAGTAGCATGGGCAGCATGACTTAGGTGATACGAAGCGGGCACGGCTTGCATGCACACGACACCCGTGAGAAAAATGAAATCAATACTTGTCATTGTCGGTACCGAAGCACTCGTCCACCCTGTTCCCGTACCTCACGCGTATTCTTGGCTACAGGGCTGGCCATCATCCACTACACTCTAGGCCTGACCCTCATGAACTACCAATGCATCACTCACGCTTTTAGGGCCCGCCAAACCGCCATTTCTTCTCGTATGATATTATCAATAGTTCCCTACCGTAGGGCGGTCTAAACCGACAATATATGGGATGCGCATAGCGGATTGCTTTCTTTTCAGCCTACAGTAGCGCCATTCTGGCATGCACCCCCTCACCTCGAGCGCGGATTAACGCCAGTGGTAATATCAACATTTTCTTGCATGTTGAATGCATACATGACACACAACGGTCTACCCCACGCCCTAACATGAGTCGAAACAACGGTCCACAAACAAGGCAAGCAAGCGAGGCAAGCGAGATGTGAAGTGATATGTCGCACCCAGAACTTCTCAAGTAAACTTGAAACAAGCAGGCTCGAACGAGACATTCACCGTCCAAAGAAGATTGTGTCACAAAAGGTGTACGACATGTTCGTAGCCTTTGTTCGCTGGATGCAAATCTCTAGAGTTGTGAATCGGTACGAAAAAACGATATATTTTACATCGGCTGCGCAGCAGCCGATATAACGATATTTTCTCCGATATATCGCCGTAGGCGATATATCGGAGAAAATATCGGGCGAGCGCAGCGAGCCGTGATGGGGGCGAGCGAAGCGAGCCCCCCCATCGGCCCCCCCCGGCTGGTGAGGGGGCCTCGCCGGAGGCGCCGCCGGAGGCAGAAAATTTGGTGCATTTTCCTTTCATTTCCCGTCAAAATGGGCCCAAATGCGGCATCAAAAAGGGCTTGACTTCAGCTGCAAACATCGCACGGAATGTAGAAAAAAAAAAAAAAGATTAAGATTGATGTATTGTCGCGTATCCTCAGCAGTACCCTCCTTCGGTCTCTCCCTGTGTCTACTTCCCGGTTGGTTCTGGACATGGTGCTGTTGTCTGCTGTTTCTGCGCTGCTGTGCTGTGTGTGTGTGGCGTACAGGGGCTCCGTACTGCTGCGCATACCCTAAATTTGATTCACGGAGCCCCTAAGAAAACATCGGTCGGAACATCGGCACGAATTTTCGATACCGATATCGATATATATCGGACGATATATATCGTGTACATCGTTCCGATTCACAACTCTACAAATCTCACTTGTTCAACATCCCAGCGTAGACTTTCGGCTGCTGCTCCCCGGGCAAGTCTACCAGCTGCTTCGTCACGCGCGCGAGGCACGGAAACGTATCCCCGTCCGTCTTGGCCAAAAAACGAAACCTGGTCATCCATGTCAGCGCAAGCAACAAAGACACTTTCTCGCTTAGTGGTCGCGGGTTATATGGAGTTCTGGTGTTCTTGTTGGCGTGCTTTGTGCACGTGATGGCAGAACGTTTGTTTCACTCACTCATCCTGGGCGTCAGTGGAGTGCATTCGTTCAAGTCTGCTGCTTCGCTCGTTGTGGACGTGTGTGGGTGCCAATCGATAGGGTTTCCCCGGTGGTCTCAACATGATTTATTTCGGGTGCCCTGCGTTGTAGAGTACCCTCAAACGAATGGGTTTCGTGAGACGCCACGGCCGGGAGAACATAGGGGCGGAAGGAATCATAACAACAGCTTCATCGGCATAAGCTTGTGTAAGCGTTAGTGAAGGGCTAACCTGACACTACAAGTACACTGACACCACAAGTACGCCACACGTGAGGGGCCCATTGCTGTCGTAGCACGCCATCTCTAAGGCGCACTACCTCACGAAGTCTACAAATATAGTAATGCCGCCAAGAAATTTGCACGGACAAGCAGCAGGAAGGGCAATGCGATCTCGTCGGAACCCTGACTGCTGTGGCCCTTGTACCGGCGGTGCGCTTGCTGACAAATTGGAAGCCGCAGGCTAATGTTGGGGAGTTGTACGTTTGTACTGGCATGTGTTTCTGTGGCTTTTACTGCCGCAGCAGCAGCAGCAAGAAGGAGATCAAACCATCGCGTGGGAATGCTCGTGGCACAAATCATCTGAACATCGGAACATGCTCAAGTCTTGCACATGGCATCCAGTGTCTCCAGCATGAGGACAACCTACAGTACTGCTGTTGTATACAGAAGTAGAGTCAGCAGCAGTAGTTGCCGCACACCTTGACAGCGGCAGAGAACAACAGGGAGCCAAACCAACTGATTCAACAAGTTAAACTTCGTGTTCTGTCCAGTTTTCTGCACTTGCGGTGCACAACCAGCAGTCAGTTCTGAATAACTTTGCGGTTCATCACATATTTGCGGAGTTTTTGCGCGCTGTCTGAAAGCACATGCAGTGCAAGACTCGGCGCATGCTGGGGACACTCGAAACACCCTAAATCCTGGGTATAAAACCTGCTGGGATCCACGTACAGCAGTACCAGTGGTCTACTGCTGTCTGTCAGCTGTGTCTCTCACCGGAGATGCTCTGCAAGTCCTGCCATGGCCTTGGTCTTATCGCTCAAGTGGGCGTATCCCTCTCGGACGTCCACGTGATAGAAGTCTCCCCGTAGCAACCCCGCCTTCGGCAGCTCGTTATCGTCGAGCAACCCCGCCCTGCCGACGACAAACACGACTCGAAACGTCAACGGCGGTCCCTCAGACCCATCAGGAACAACCTCCGAGCCGTATCTCGCGTATACCTTTCGCACTCTCGCGATCTCCTCCTGAGCTTCCTTGGACTCTCCACCCAAAGCCAGCACCGCCACAACTAGGTCATAGTATGGTCGATGTCGGGGGTCTGGAGGCAAGCCGGCAGCGTTGCCGTTGGTTGTTGCATGTACCGTGAGCCCCACTCCGTCCCTCCCACTGCAAGGAGCACAGCTGCTGCCGACGCACGAGCGGGATCCTGCAATGAAGACCAGCACAAACAAGGCAGCTGCTACAAGCACATGTCGTGCAGTCAGAAGTCTTGGCTGCTCGCGGTGTTGTTGCTGCTGCTGCTGCTGCTGCTGCTGCTGATCCTGCTGCTGGAGTGGCTGCTGCGGCTGTGTTCCCACATCTTGACTATTTCGGGTGGGGGCTGCAAAACTCCGATGTGTCGACAGCGCCCGTGTCCCCTCCTCCAAAGCGGGTGGCAGCGTAATGAAGCTTCTTCGGCGGGTAGGAGGAAGAGACATCACAAGCACAGGGCCCTACCTCCGTAGTAGGGCAAGCCCCAACAGAGCGTTGCAGCAACAGCAGCAGCATCATCGGCAGGGAAGATCGCAGAAACATCGGAAGGGAGGGGCGCAGAGCTCCTTCACGAAAAACGCCGCCTGAACCACTTTTTTGTGTGTAACGGCGACGATTGCACCGGATCGGAGATCGGCCCCTTGGACTGGATCGCATCTTCATCTTCACAGTTTTCAGCGCCTTCTGAGCTGGCAAACAGCTGGTCCCGTTCGCTAGTGGGGGGGGGGGG